CGATAGAGACCCACCAATCCAAATCTGAGGTATGGCCTGCCTTTATTTCTAAAAAGTGATGCACGGAATTGTAGCATGTGCAAGGCCTTTCTACTTTCAACAGTTCAAAGACAAGCTGTACACTCATTTCTGCGGCTCGTATTGTTGAACCTAAACGTTCGCAGCATATAATTTTCTCCGCTCAGAACAGGACGAGAGCGAGGCTGAAGGGTAGTGCCAATTTGGTGATAACTCCATACCCCGCGTCGGCTATCGCGCCTCATCCCACGCGCCCGACCGTGGCCAAACGCGCTGCTATTCTGCTCCCTTTCCCTTCTGGCTGTTCTCTACGCTGACTATGTGATGAGCTTCGGAAGCTTGATATCTGCTCATGTGCTGTACGTCAAGGGCAACGCGGGCGGAGTATGGGAACGGCACACAGTTTTCGTTTCTCTCCAACCCCGATATCGTGTACTTATGAGCGGCGGCACTTGCAACCTCGCGCCCATAAACCTCCACGGGAAGAATTGCTCCCGAAGATGAGTGTATAGCTCGTCTCTAGAGAAGTAGCAAGCTTCCGCACCCTACTGCTGGAACTGCCGAACCATAGTGTAATCGGAGACCTAAAGATCCCACGATCTCTTAGGCACATTTAAGATTCTACTGTGTCGTAAAACAAATAGTAATCGTTCACAAATTTCCTGCTGCGGTAGCAGTATGCTCCACAGCACTCGTTGATAGAAGAAGTCGATGGTGCTCGAGGCGCACCTCGAACTAATCATTCAGAAAAAAGATCACAGCATAAACTCAACAAGTGAAAATGTTCGATACACTTCACGACTCTATGTACAAGCTTGCATCAACAACAAGTAATTGACATATATGGATGAGATACATAATAATTTATGAATTACAGCAGCAGAAAGGTGGTAAGCGCACCGTAAGGAGGTGGGTGCTTGAGCAACTTCTGAAGAAAGAAACGGTTTTGAAATGGAAGCAGTCAAAAAAGACCAGTGTAAAATAACGCACATTAATTAAGTGGCATATCATTAGAATCGTAGGTTTTCTTCGAAACGTCTCGTGATCACTGTGCTAGTAATGCCATTCATTCCTTTGCTGGCATATTCCATGTCTTCAACTGTACTTTTCGCCTAAATCAAGCCATAGTAGTAGGCAACAACATCCTATCGCCGAGCCTATCACAGAAGGAGACAGCCTCAGTGGGCTTACCGGCTGACGCTGTCTCCTTCTGTGATAAGAGCCGGCTTCTCAGCTAACGTCTGGCTTTGCTCTCATGTATGCATATGGTCAACGCTTCTTACTCAACCTGCTTCCTCTAACACCTATTCCTTCCGCAGCGACTCTCAGGAGCCTGTAATCTCCTCACTGTCCTTTATTGAAAACTAGGGATAACGTCGAATTTTTCACTTGCTTCTGCCAGTCGAAGTTGTAAGATGGAACCTCTTGTAGGCCTGACTCTCTCTTATAGCAGGTCATATTTGACTTTTGACTTGGTAAAAGCGAATAGCACGATAATTTGGTACACGGACTAAAATGCTAGCAGGGCGCTATATAGTGGAACAGCGAAAAAATAAAGTGAAACTGTCAAAAGACTTCGTTTTCAATGACTCAAAAAGTAATTTCGGATGAGTTTCTTATAGTCATCTTGCCTATAACCGCAACGGTAGGTACGCCTGCACTTATGTACTCATATACTCATGTAGCGCCGCGGTCGCTTCACATTTTACTTACAAGTAGCAAATGAAGCAATACGATCCGGTACGGTCGTCTATTTGTGATGGGCGGGAGCGGTGGGCGTCGGGTCGGTTTTTCGTAGCATGATAGGCACTACAGGGGTGCTTGCATTGGAAAAGGCGCCACGCAGCGTTTGCTCAGTGGCGCGTATTCAGTCCTGCTAAGTATTAATCCTACACGTCTTTTATCGTGTCAACAACTTTTAACGATTCGAGTGAGCGCCTTCTCACTCTGGCTTCTAAAAGTCTGCAATTAGTTGTCTCCCAAAAGTCTGTAAGCAACCGCAATCCGACAACAACTGCAAAGGATTCATCATAGGTCTCACCGTGCGATGCCTAGCTCGCGTTGTTGGTTGATACTATCAGGTTGGCGTTCAAGTTTTGTCACAGTTTTTTTTTCCGAATTAGACTTTCTTTTTAGGGAGGAGGGGAAAACTCACCCATGCGCGTATGCGGCGCGGTTCCTTCACGGCGCCGCGGCGGCAGGTCGGGCGAAGGGTGATCGCTTGTGCCTCCGCCACTATGCTTCAATCAGAAGCCCCTTTTATGCCCCATTATAAGGGAAGGAGAAGGAGAGGAAAGAGGATTGAACAAATAGTGAACGCTCATAGGTGAGTTAGTGGTAATGGTGAGCAGAGACAGAAAAGTCGAGAATCAGAGCGTATTATTTCAGTCAACAGCGGAACTGGCACAATGATTCCCTTCGAATGGGACGTGACGTTATAGCGTTATGAGGTCACAACCAACTGCTGGCAATTTGCCAAACCTCAGCTTGAACTTTCGTGTAAAAGCTGCTTGCGTCGTTTCCACAACCGAAGGGAACTACGCCACCATCTGCCATTTACTGAAGTAATTCGTGGTAGTCACTTTTCTGTGATCTCCTACCATTACCACTAACTCACATAACAACCCACTATCCGCTCAATTCCCTTCCTTTTCTCCCCCCCCCGCTTCCTTCCACATAAAAGAGGCTGCTGGATTGGAGCACAGCGTCGGAGACGCGGGCCATCGCCTTTCGCTCCGCCCTGCCGCCGCGGCGCCTTGAAGAAACCGTGCCGCGTACGCGCACGGGTGAGTTTGTACACGGAGCCGCGATGCCTAGCTCGCGTTGTTGGTTGATACTATCAGGTTGGCGGGAAAGTTTTGTCACATTTTTTTTCCAAATTAGACTTTCTTTTTACAGAGAGGCGTTCAAGATCAAAATCATACAACAATGTTATTGCGAGATCCTTGCCAGTTTTTGGGTACTTCGTGGAAGCCATCGCTTCACAATGCACCCCGGCGCGACGCAAAGTTGGACATCGTATCAGCTTTGACTTGGGCTCAAGTCGTGGAGGTTTTCTCGGCCGTATAACGGCTAAATACGGGAGGCTACTAGCAGTTAGAAAGAGCAATGTCTGGACTACACCGGCAAGGGTAGAGCCGTCCAGCTCTATAGCACAAATTCGGCTCAAATTTTTTTTGGACAGAGTGGGCCACACCAGCACGTTGAAGACGGACTGTGCCGGCAATTTTTTTCCTCTGCTTGACGGTTCGCTTCAGATCTCGTAGGTGCTTTGCGTACGCATCGACCGAGGAGGCAGTTTCTTCATCCATTGGTTTTCCGGCCCACAGCTATCTCGAGCTGAGATCACGGGTACTCCCAAACCCCACTTCGTCATTCAAACCGTAGGCTCCCGTTCTAGAGCGCTACTGTCGTGGAAGATCGTCTGATATTGGAGACATTGTCCTTATGCAGCTCCATTATTTCGGCGTCGACAGCTGTCATGCTGGCGCCAGGGTGATACAAGAAAGGTTGAAGGAAGCGCTGGTCGTGCCGAAGGTAGCGATAACATTCTTGTCCCTACTACAGCACAAGGAGAAGCAGGAGTCGATCCAGTGATACGATCAATCCTTGATGTATAACTGCTCATGTAATGACCCATAGATTATTGTAAGGGCCTATAGATTATGTAAATCATATCGTCTGTTTGTTTGTGACCTAGCCTGGGCTGCTGGAGACTGAAGGAGACCTAACCTGAGGTAATGACCAGCGGATATTGAGGTGCCTGAGGATATTGCCAGGAGGAAACGGCTGACCCCCGAGGTATCACAAGGTCGTCCCGCCCCCTCTCGCGACCACACATAAATGGCGAGGTCACACAGTATTGTACTCTCTTTTTACTCACTCGACACACTCGCCTCACGTCTCCAGTGTCCCAACACTGGGACATCTATTCTACTGAATAAACAATTCTGTACTCTGTGTTCAACTTCAATTTAGTCACAACTAATACATTCTTCGGAACCGAAGAAAACCACTACACCGTTCTCGTCTACAACATGGCCCAGGAACTCTATACTAGGATCCATTATGCGACATTTTTTGAGGTTCAATCTTCAGTGGGCTTCTCTAAAGGTGTGATGTCAACATGCCGTTCTAAGGCATCGGTGGCAATCAAGATGTCATCGATATAAACTGAGACCTCAGGACCTAACAATTCACCCAGCACATTATCCACCAATCGTTGGAACTTTGCTGGTGCAGTCGTAAGACCAAAAGGGAGAACACGAAATTGAAAATGCCCTGATGTTGTGGTGAACACACTAATTTCCTTAGCCTTTTCGGTTAAGGGCACTTGCCGTACCCACTAGCTAGGTAGCGATGAAAACCATCGTTTTCCTTGCAAATTTTACAATGCGATATCTAGGGTAGGGGGCAGCTATCCTTTTTCGTCACCTTGTTGACCTCCCTATAATCCACACACAATCAACTAGTACCACCTTTCTTGGCTACTAATACGATAGGAGATGCCCATGGGGATTGGCTATCCGCAATCCCCCTTCTTTCTTTGAGATCCCGCAACATTACATCCAATTCTGCGCATATTCCGTAGGGGACGGGCCTTGTTTTTTGACGGATGGGTGGATGATTACCCCCATCAATGTCATGAGTGACTAAATCCGTTTGCGTAAGTTCCGTATCCGAAATAGCAAAAGTCGCTGTATTCTTCAAGCACTCTGCGCATTTCATCGTGTAACTTCCCGGCTTTTCGATTGTTATTCAATATATCCAAAAGCACGTGAATCCTTTCAGCGTCTTGTAACACAGCGGGCTGACGAAGGATCATAGTATCACTTGGGACATCGGCTATTCTGGGATCAACCAAGTTTCCGTTGACCACCTTTCTAGGTCCTCTCCTCGTCCTATTACCCAGGGTTCCGGACCTTTATTAATGACTGATAGCTCGGCTTTGCCTTCATCCACCTGGCATATTACACCCGATTCTATACGAGGGTTTTTGGACCAAAAACTGCAAGCTTCCTTGTCGAGTTCCTACCAAAAATTTTGACTGTGGCTACTTTACCTGGTCCGACTACTACCCTTTTGTCTGAGTACGCTGCACCAGAGCACGGGTCATTTGCAAAGCCATTCCGCGTTGCACGTACGTTCGCAGTTAGCTCCAAAGAGATTCCCAGTACTTCTAAAGCATTAGTGCCCAATAACAACGTATCGTCGTTACTTTGCTGCATGTGCATATGCACGCAAACCGTGCTAGCTCCTATGACCATTACTTCTGTTGTTATTTCTGAAAGGAAGCTCATCGAATTTCCTGAGGCATCGAAAAACCTGCATTCTTTCCCATACCCACGATGTGTGCCTTATCATCAAGATCAACGCCTTGTTCGCGCACTCTCTTGAGGAGAGTAATCGAGAACACAGAGCCTGTGTCTACGAGTGCTTTTGCTGTAATATCGAAAATTTCCACTTCACAAGCGCTTGGTTTACCTATAGCGCCGGTTTGGAGTTTTGGGTCTTCCCCTTTTCTTTGGACGGTTTTACACCATCTGCCTAACTCTCTTGCAAGCGAGCTACCATGCGTTGTTTCGCGTATCGTTATAATTGCGGTTGTGGCCGCTCTCACGATACTTGTGGTTCGAGGGTTTCTCTCTTTTTCTGCAGTCCGCTGCCAGATGTCCCCTTTTTCAACAATAGTTGCATTTGTGTATGTACTTAGCCAGGGTTCCCGCTTGCTCACTGGTCCTATTAAAAGAAGGAGTCCTTTGAAGGTCGCTACCTTGTCGATCAAGTCACCTTTTCTGAAAACGCAATTGGGCGTTGCTATCGAACTGCAGCTTTTCCAGCCGCATGGCAACTCTTTTCACCTCTTCATAGACTCGTTCCACTGGCACATCCAATGCCGCCATCATGTGATATGAATTGTGCCAGTGTTGAAAACACGAGTACAACTTGGATCCTCTTATGGAATCCCACTCACTGCTCGGGTGAATTTTTCGAGATAGATCTTCCATGCGGCAACAAAAATCTACTACTGATTCGCCGTTTCTCTTGAAAAGACTTCCATTCTTTTATATCTCTCAGTCGATCACAGGGATTTTTACGCGCTGGCTTGAGTGCTTCAACGACACCGTCGAAAGTCCCCTGCTTGACTGTATCTGGGAACCCTTATAGGGTGACAGAGCAGACCCGGAAAAGATATCGTATTCAGGATTACGCCCGACCACAGAACATAGTCCAACTATTTACGAACATTCCTAAGTATGGCAGGATATTATCGAAAGTTCTTGCTGCGCTTTTCGCAGATCGCTAAACCCTTATATGACTTGGCAAGGTTATTCGGGTTGACAAATGAACACACCTTAGCTTTTGAAATGCTTAAAAAGTCACTCACGAGGCTCCAGCTCTGGCGCAAGCTAATATAGAAAAAGTAAGGGACGGATCTCGCCCCTTTATTATCTACACAGATGCTAGTAGGGTAGGCAAAGGTGCGGTTCTAGCTCAAGATGGGGATGACGGCTTGTTACATCCAGTATTTTTTGCTTCTAATCACTTGTCTGGAGCTGAGAAAAACTATCATAACACTAATCAAGAAGCGCTAGCCTTGATTTTCAGCCTTTTATTACTTTATTTCAGGTGTTCGTACTATGATTCGGACAGATCATGCTGATCTCACCTCGCTCTTCAAATGAACCAATGTTTCCCCACGGGTTTTGAGGTGGGCGCGCGAGGTTCAGCGTTATGATTTGACTATAGAGTTCGTGAAAGGAACCGCCAGCGTGGTTGCTGTCTCGAGGGCTTCCTATACAAGACAGTAGCGGCCCAGGTTATGCCGAAGACGAAAAAGTAGTCCGTACAGTTCACGAAAATGACTGGCTCGTGGAACTTGGTCAGGACCCTGACTTTGAACTTTTGATAAAATGCCTCGAGAATGGTGAGACTGAAGAAGTCAAACTTCCTAGGCACGGTAAAGTTCTAGGCACAGCTGATTTTGTTTTGCATGATGGAAAAATAAGTTGAATTAATGAGAACGGATCTCTGGCCACCGTAGTACCATGCTCACGAAGACGAGAAATTTTTGATGAAGCCCATTCAGGTATTCTAGGCGGACATTTCAGCGCCAAGAAAATGTTTATGCAAATGAGAAAAAGCCTCTTTTGGCCAGGAATGTATCAAGATTTGGTCAGTTGGTGCCACAGTTGCCAAAGCTGTTTCTTGACTAGTCGAACGACAGACTTGCCACCCTTACGGCTATTGAAGTCACAAGACCACTTCAGATAGTCGACGTCGATTTATAAGAAATGGGCCTGACCACGCGAGGAAATCGTTACATTGTCACCATTATCGACCATTTCACGAAATATTTAAGAGCGTACCCCATAGCGGACAAGAAAGCGGGAACCGTTGCAGAGGCCATTTTGAGCAACTGGGTTTGTGGTGCCGGAAGATAACCGGAGGTACTTCTCTCTGATCGAGGGAGTGAATGCGAAAATGAGATAATGACCGCTCTCTGTGAAGTTATGGGAATAGCACGAAAATTCACTAAAGGGTACTGCCCACGAGAAAATGGATTGACGGAAAGGGTCAATGGGACCATTGTTAGAATGTTGAAAAAGAAAACAGTGGTAGCTGGGAACGGGATCGGGTTCTACCGACCGTTGTTTATGCGTATAATGCGTTCCCGCATGCAGCGACGGGAGAAAGTCCCCATTTTTCGTTGTATGGGCATGATCCGGTATATCCTTCAATGTCAATACCTTCGTACCACCTATCGCCTTACATCGTGAAATACAATACCTACAAGGCGGAACTGTTTTGCGCACTCAAATTAGCGCGCGAATGCATCAGTGCAAACGCGAAAGAGTATCGTGAAAAGATGAAACTTGCTTATGATAGAAGGTACAAAACAGCTTCCTCGATTTTCAGGACAGGTGAGTGACATGAAGCTTCCTGCCGAGAAAGGCAAATCGCGGCATCCCAAATTAGCAACTGAGTAGTCCGATCCATTCAAGGTAATTGAAGTCAGCGCTAACTCAGTATTGGTCACTTTAATCGGTATTGAAGAGCCGGTTAGGGTTCATTTGGCCATTTGATTAAAGTACCTAAGGAAATAGGTGATGACAGAATCATAGGGACCACAGCACGTGCAAAACGTGGTAGAAGAAAGAAAAATTCTAACTTCAGTAATGTACTATCGATTCAAAAATTTCATTTCACTTCCATATAGTGTTCTGCCGTCATGTCTTTTTCGATCCAACTCGCAGGATCAATTGTTGTCGCTAGCAGTCACATATACCCGAAAATTTTCGAGTCGCCCGACTTTTGGATATCAGTACGATCTGATTACACTAATCTCTTTGGTTTGGTCATGTCCTTTTATCGCAGTCGTCGCATCCACACTGCTCTGGCGAGCGTGGCTGATGCCACCACACCAACGGCGGGTTTTCCCCCTCGCAGAACCATGGATCCCTATCATCTGCCAAGGATGCACACAGAAGCGCTGCAGATAGCTAACGCGCATCCATGGACCGGCAACAGCGGAATAGCTGTCAAACCACTCCGCACATTATCTTGCCAGAAGGATTCCAGGATGTACTAGCTGGATGCGAAACGGCCACAGCAATTGCAAAGTCAGCACGCATCATAGAGGAACTCGAACCCTCTGGTTCGAAGAAGAGTTCAGCGCCATCATCCTATTCTCGTCAGCTCATTACACCGAGCCAATGCGATGGAAGAGCGCCTGGTATTTACTGATGAAAGCCGTCTCTGAAGGTGCAGGATTGATTACACTTGCGAGACCACAGGACGATGAAGATTGGGGCAGAAACATGAATCTTCTTCGGGACTTTATCGAAGAAACTTCTGCCCAGAGACCGATTCTTAGGCAACGCCTTCGTTGCCTCCTACCTTTGCGGTCTCAAAACTTCTCTGTGGATGCGCCATTCAAAACGTTGGTGGCGGATAAAATAACTTGGTATCAGGTCGACATTTCACGCAGAGCGCAGTGAAGAGATTCTGGTACTCTACTTTGAGGGCACACAGCTTAGCGCTGTGCTTGCCGGAATTCCACCGTCTCCCGGATCACTAGAGACGTGTTCCAGTAAGGCCATTTCAAGAAAGGAACAACGACTCCCACCAGCATGCTTATGGTAGCCAGCGCGGATATCTCGTGATGCACAAAAGGAACCGTTCCATAGAAGCCACCGCTCTTGCTCCAGATCGCGAACGTTCACTTCAGAGAAATTCAGCAGACGATCGCTTCGTGGGCGCTTTTGGAAGGGGGATAAGCGCAGTGGAAGCGCTTCTTGTTCCGGGGGACCCATGTAAGGACCCATAGATTATTGTAAGGGCCTATAGATTATGTAAATCATATCCTCTGTTTGTTTGTGACCCAGCGCTGGGCTGCTGGAGACTGGAGGAGACCTGACCTGAGGTAATGACCAACGGACATCGAGGTGCCTGAGGATATTGCCAGTGGGAAACGGCTGAGCCCCGAGGTATCATAAGGTCGCTCCGCCCCCTCTCGCGACCACACATAAATGGCGAGGTCAGACAGTATTGTACTCTCTTTTTACTCACTCGACACACTCGCCTCACGTCTCCAGTGTCCCAACACTGGGACATCTATTCTACTGAATAAACTATTCTTCATTCTGTGTTCAACTTCAATCTAGTCACAAGTAATACATTCTTCGTTTGAAGAAACTCCTCTCACATTACCGGTCAACCCTCTTCAGTTAATAGGCAAATTGGGTTCAAAGAAGTATGACAAAACTTTCCCACCAACCTAATAATAACACACTAACACTCAAACACACAATCTGAGCTAGGCTCCGCACGGTGGAATATTCGATGAGCTGTTCGCAGTTATCACCGGACTGTTCAGAGGCCTTTATGACACGACGTCGGGAACGTCATAAGTGAGGAAGGCGCGCGGTCAGGTAGTCAAAAGTAATTTCTAGGTCTTTGAAGAAGAAGAGGAGGCGAAATTTCAGGTCAATAAAAGGTCTCACCTAACAAACTCGTTTGGCAGATGTTATTTTCTGGATTCTCTTGAAGTTCTCAAAAGCAGTCTCTATGAAGCCAATGGGAGGATCCGCTGATGAATAAACCCAAGCAAGGTCACCGTCACGTTTCGGAATAAGCTTTCTGAGTTAATACTCACAACACCAACAAGTCGATTATTTCGCAGCAATGGTGGAGCTGTTTTCGAGAGGATGTATTGACCCAAAGGAGCAGTGATCAAAATCGTAATAATGCATGCGGTTTGTGCCTGAAAAAGATAACGAATATGAACAATTTATTGCTTTTCCCGGTGAGGTTTTATCTTTGAGAGTGCGTAAGCTAGCCATTGGTGATCGTGCAAGGTTTCTTACCATATGTGCCTCGTTCTCATATTCCGCCATCCCAGCTGCATAAACCATGATTGAGGGAGCAAGAGCTGCCTGTAATGACAACCAATTTTTTTTTCTACTTCTTGTATAGAATGCAATGTCCCAAGGAGGAACATAGCAACATTGGAGCAGTAGCAGCTGCACGGCATAATACTGCTCCACGCGAACCTCTTTTCTTCCATAGAAGTCAGCTGAATATGGGGGGGGGGGAACTTGTAAGGCTTGACTTTATTTCAGTAGAACAATGCATGTAAAGTTCAAGTAACACTAGTGACGAGAGTAGTCCAAAATGCGTTTCTTTTAACATCATCCCGCCTTACAGAAGTACACTAAATGGATGGTCTGCATCCACTAACCTGTGCGGGTTCGCCATGCAAGCTCTCCCTTTTTCTTTTGACAGGTAAGCGCTAGACAACGGCGCATTGGTTCGAAAGGAAAAGAAAGAAAACGCACGGATTGGAACGATCCACCAGCCGCAGCAACAAATGTTCGGATTAACAACCCACAGCTGGATCACCAAAGACAACAGCGGTAGCTGATGGGTATACCACCGCCACGAAGCGAACAAAGTGCTTCCAGCTACTCTCAAAATTGCGGTCAAAATTGCCAACAGGGAGGGTCTTTTAGGTCGTTGAGCCCATTTTGAAAACTGTTTGTTGCATGTTTTGGAGTATAATTTTGTGGTGGCCGCAAAAGTATACTTTATTTTCGCTAAGCGCTTCTGTGAGTGGCAGGAAGGGCGAAAGGAAATTCCAGGACTTCTTGACGAACTTAACGATAAGAGGCTCCTCTGTTCTTTGGACAAAAGATTCCGGTGTGTTTGGACGAGTTTCTGTTATATCGAGGGTTCCGACTCATATGAACATGCGAAAATAAAAATAGCCGGCATGCGAAATTTCGTCACCTAGAATATTTGAAACAACCATTTGTTTACGCTTTCTCTGACCTTCACAGAAGCGCACAGCGCAAGATGCGACAAACCGTTTTCAAAATGGGCTCAGCGACCTGGAAAACCTTCATTGTGAATCTCTTCAGGAGCTCGAGGTTTCAACGTCAGTTAAAGATTTTTTCCGCGTGAATCGGGAGGTTTACTTTTTTCCAACGGAATTACCTCCTAGTTTACGCGGGCTTGTTAATTGCGCTCGTCTGCCACACATTCTTCTACACATTTCCAGTCCTCAAAGTTTCCATGACATGATTATTCATTGGTTCAAGCTCACCTGGACGGTGGCTTTCGGAAGGAGTGAGAGCGCGAGAACGAGCTGCTCCTTCATATTGAACTCGGAGCAGCAGGAAAAAACGATTCCCGAAAGGAATCTGACCACTGCTCCGATGCCGATCAGTGCACATCCGGTGAGCACAGTAGGCCAAGTCATCTAAAACAGAAGTAGTTGCTTAACGTCGTAACCGAAACTTCAGATTAAGTCTCTACCATCGAGAAATCTAGTTTCATGCCAATTAAAGCGAACAAAAGAGGCATGAAGAAGAGATTCCAAAGCAGAGCAAACGCCTTCTCTTCATAGACGATCTGAAAAATGTCTTTATTCACTTCAATCGGAAGTCACCTAGTAGACAGGAACTGGTCCGCATGAATACCTTATCATCGTTGTCAGTTTTCCATCGAATTCCAGCTATAAAAGTGATCAGCACGGTAGCAGCAATTCCTCCACTCATAAAGCCAAGCACACTTCCGCCTTAATGCCTCAACCCGTAGTCTACATCCATGGAAGGTACATAGTGATAGGCTGCTGACAATGAAAATACTAGACCCCTAACTATTCGAGAACAAAATCGATAGTTCGGTACTAAGGTTTTTTGTACATTTCGCGAGGGCAACCGTCGTACACAAGTTTAAGTTTCGAGGAAAACGAATGTAGCCAAGTCAACCGGAAACGAATGTATGGCGTCCCTGCGCGATTTGAAGCCAGCTTTCAGCAAAGTTGAAACCGTACTGTTAGACGGTGCCGGTGGCTGAAGCGAATTCGTAGCCATGTGGAGGGGGTGGGGAAGTCGCGAATGACTCCAACGACAACGATTTAGGTAAACTTTAATAAGAATTTTATCGAGAATTCGAGCTGAAAATAGTTGGAAGTAACTCTTCTAGTAACTCTTCGGAGTTATAGAACTCTCAAAATTGATGAGGTCCGCTGTTTGCATGAATTTGTAAGGGTATGAGAAGCTGTTCCATCAGAAGGAACCCAAGAAGGATAGAAGGACTCGACGTGTCTCTCAAATCCCCATTAAAGGCCCAGCAACCTTATGTGGTTAACATGGTCCCAAATAGATATTTCGGTGTCCACCACATGGCTGACATTCTCATGAATGGGTCAAAAAGAACTGTTGCTCACCGAGTACAAAAGCAGATGACACAGTGGCAAGAAGAAGTGTCCGACAAACAGAGCTGTTGTTGACGTACGAGATTGGGAACCACCAGAAGATCCATCCTAGACGAAGACGTTAGTATTTAGTCTAATGATACATTGGCGCGTTCGCCTCGGGGGAGGGACACCTCTGTGCATACTCCTTCCAAGTAACATCAACGAAATTATAAGACCGTTGATAGACTAACTATCGTTTTCAGTTTTGATGTCTCCGCTATAAGGAAAGTCTGACTGCGATACAAACTGTTCATGATGTAATTCTAGGCCAATTGATATAAGGACTCATGCGGCAACGAGAAAGGGTTTTTACAAGGATTGCGGAGGAACAAAGTAACCCGGAAAAGGCAGTAGACAGTACAGAGCAAACCCCCATCCCGCTGCTCCTTATCCCTTAGGCCTAGACAATCTCCCATCAAGGTACAGCATCGTGATGTGTGAAATGGTGGCGTCGGTACGATCCGCTCCCTTCCCCAATACCTACATCACTTTCCTACAAGTCCCTAATTTCCTACTAGATTTTCTTCAAAAATTTTCCGTCGAGAGTTGGGGGAGGGGCATATAGCCAATATAAAATGGAAAAACGGCGAAAAGTCAACAACCGGGGAATTTTTTTCAAACTTGCTAAATTTCTCTCGAAACTACCTACAACCCCACCTCCCTCTCACAACAACGCCCAAGTACGACTGTGTTTCACACAACGATGCTGTACCCTAAGCAATAAAGCGTTTTGCACATTCGCTAGTTTCTTTTGCTAGGGCAAGCGGCACGATCAGTCCCCAAGATGTGCAGGATACATAGCCTAGCAGGACAGAAGTCGGCGTCCCTGAGTGCGCGCTGTGTAGAGCCTCTACCAAGGAGGTACCCTTGTACCGCCTTATCAAGCTGCCACACACCGACCCGTACGCTAACCGAGTGCACCCGCCCACAAATGTCCGACCGATGCTCGTGTCATTTCATTTGCGAAGTACAGTATGAAGCAAAGGGACTGGTACGAAGCAGATGCGGTGCTGCATGGGTATATGAGTACATACATGCATCTACCGTAGCGGTTATTGGCATGATACCGTCTGATCGTCCGAAATTTCTGAGAGCAAAAGCGTTCTTCGCAGGTTTTTGTCTGTTGCACTTTGCTTCTTCGCCACTTTCCCGCTGGATAGCACTCCTGCTACCATTCTAGTCCAAATACCAATTTATTAGGTTGACGCATAAGTTCTTGGCCACGACTTTTTCGTAAATATCTCAATAGCGAACCAACCTGAAGATTAGAAGTATGCACCATCACCTGAACTACTCGACGCTGGCACTCAGGCACCTTGTCGATTCCATCCTCCCAGAACTACGGGGGCTGTGATTCGAAGAAGGCCACAATGCCGCACAATCACCACTGCGACATGGTTTCACTGGTAATTGTGCGGCATTGTAGCCTGCAAATGCAGGGTGGATGAGCGATAGCTAGTGTGGTGAAAGAGTATCCTGTACACGTCACGCGCACGTGATGACGAAATACCAACATCCATGCAAACGAAATACGGAAGGATCAAAACAGGGGGCCGAGAACTTATGCACCAACCTAATACCTTTAATTACATGCCTCAGCTTGGTGAGACCTGCAGACACTATCGAGTGCAAACGAAACCTATGCTTTCTCCACAGGCGCGACGGCGGTGATCAGCAGAACACGTCCAACAAGCCGAACTGCATGTTATTATTGCACACAACTTATAATTTCTGCAGAAAAATTGTAATAAATCAGCATTTTCTGGCGGTGCCCCACAATGCGCACTGTCTAACTACACCTTGGGAGTTTCTGAGAAGAATTCCCTTCCAAAATAGAGGCAGCTTCCTTTCGTTGTTTCTCAAAGTTGTCAACTTTTCTGGGGTGAAATTTAGAGTTTTCTTTAAAGGATAGACAACTTACCAAGAACCGCTCCAAGAAACGCACCGGCTACCAGTTGCGCGATCGTGATACCGATTACTTCCACCAAGGGCTCTGCAATGTCACCTGTCTGAGTAGTTCTCCAAGGCAATACTGGCAATCCAAGGCAATGTTACAGCATAGAGAGTATTGCAGCCATGCCTACCTAAGTAGGCCTAGCGTTATAGATATCTCAAGAGAGTGCCTAGCGTTATAGATATCTCAAGAGAGTAACTACGGGAACAGAACCCTTTACAAACGCGAGGTTCGTGGAGTGATGATTCTTTTCCGTAGAATTTGCAACAGTCCTAATGTGACGGGTGATATTCCAAGTAATTTCAGCTGTCTTCATGAGTCACAGTCGGATAGCTGTTCACTGGCTTTTCACGAGTCTATGTGGGCAAGACAAATTATGCCAATAGCCTTGTCAGTAGGAATCCATGTCTCCATGTCCAGAATAAGGTTTTGATACTAGTACTGCTACTCTATGTTTCGGAACTTACATAAGTGGACCTCAAAATGTGGTAGTGAGTGGCACCTATTTAGTGGGGTATTCTCCACCCAAAATCGTCGGGGACCTCGAAAACCACATGCGAGATTTGACAAGCCTCTTACGCCCCTCTCTCAAGGCAGCGGTCAGATGTGAACCCCCTCGTTGTAGATTCTCCAGTGACGATAGATACTCTCTTATTATCAGCAATCAAAGCTAGGCACTTCATTATCACTGGAAATCTGTCTTCCTCCCTAATGTTCTATATCAGCTTACCTGTTGAGAACACTATCGAAGTGATAATGGAGAACGCTGTGATGCAGAAAATATTGTCGAGGGTCGCCGATGCTAGAGCAAGCGTTGGAACACCCTGAATTCGTTGTTCAAAAATATTGAACAACCTAATATCGAATTTCCTTAAAAAAATTCAACACTGTTAGGGGTAAGCTCCCGTTACTTCAATCATTTCCACTGCTGCCCTTTTACTGAATGTCTGGCTGAGAATAATGAAAACTTACTGGGTCAGGTCTCAAGGAACATCGAGGGTTATCTGGATATACCCGTTACGCTCAAAACAACAATTGTGGCGCTGACTATTGTTCAGCCGAGAAAAAGTAAGGCTGCATTTATACTTTGCGGTAGCGTAGGGTAGCGCTTGCAGCGTACGCCAGCGCTACGCTGCCGCGAAGTATAAAAGCAGCCTAAGAAGGAACCGCTAGAAATCTGCGAACTAAGTTCCGCTCTTGCAGCTAGCTGTGAGACGTATTTGAGAAAAAACGCTAAGGAGTGTATGCTTTGTCTTTTTCGCGGTTGTTGGATGGGCGAAGAACTATTATCTATTTGTGTCGTTTCTTACTGGTTGATGCCGTATACATTTCTATACAGCCTCCAGTAGGCGGAGGTGGCGCTTACCACCCGCGCGGTGCCGGATCCAAATTCGGAGTCGCCTCGCGCCTAGGCCAATCGAGCCTACTACCCTCTAAGTTGGTACCAGTTTCGTCTGGGCGGATAAGAGCACTGACATCCACATCGGCTGGCCCCCGCAAGTCATTGTGGAGGCCACAGCGCATTCAATGAGCCACTACGATTCTGAATGGGAGTAGAATGCATGCCGCATCACACAAAGGAATTGATCAACGGCGAAGACTTCATCGTTTTATCCTTATAGCCTTCATCATTACATTTGTATGTTGTCTTAGAAAGAGTCACATGATCAGCAGTTTCCAAGTTTTTATTGTAACACGCGCTCAGTAATAGAACTGTCAAGGATGTTTTACAAAATGGCTCAACTATTTTGGAGCGTTTCTAATTTCTTTTCTTTTGTAAACGGGTATTCCGACCATATTAGGAATCATGCAAATTGGAAGCAGAGTAAGGTGGCCTTCAGTTCGGAAGATTGTTTCTTAGGTTGGATTTGTGAATATAATAACTTGGAGTTTCCTGTAGGGCACGCCATCGCGTTGTGATTATTTCCTGAAAGATATAAATCCCCCCCCTACGAATAACTTCCTTCTGGTTTTTTCCCCACAATTTCGCTGTCGAGCGGTCGAGCGGAAGGGGGGAGGGGGAAGAGGGGAAGGTCGTCAGGATTCAATAACTATCATTTTCAACCATCGGAAATAGTAGTTGTGTAAATCTTTGGCAGTCCCTCTCTCAACAACGGTCGAATACGACCCTTCCCCTTTATACCGTCCGTGAAACAAGGGAAATCAACCACCAAAAATTTTCTCCGACCAGATACGACCCCCCCTCCCTTGCTCGCGGTCAAAAAATATTGTGATCATCACAACGATGGCGTGCCCTGGTTCTTGAAATTACAGCGATATTTTCTCAATTCAGTAGCTTTTTTATCGCAATTGGTGTACCTTTCGTGTACCAAGTCCTTGGTTTTGCAAGTCAAGCATAACAGGGACCGTGACAGCCGGCGAGATGGCGGCGAGTACAACTCTGAATAGCTGCTCATGAGAAAATTACGTGAGAATTTGTGGCATAATATAATGTTATACCCGCATATAAGTGATATTGGCACAGACCATCCAAAGATGAAGATCGCTGCGATTGCTATTATGCCACTTTCCACAATTGCACTCACGATGCCGAGCGCAAAAGCAACAACCTTCAAAACTCATTCTTTATGCTGTATATTCCTCATACCTCTCAAAACGGTAAAATCTTTCGAATTCCTTTGTTACGAGCCCTGCACTACATATCGGATGACTGGTCGCGTAGTCGGAATCCGATTGCAGCCTCTTGCTCCTGCTAATCATGGTTGGGATGTAGCATCAAAGCCTCCGAGGGAACTCCCTCGAACAGGTCTCGATTCGGCTTCTACTGCTGCCACAGCACGAACTGACTATCATACGTCCGTACATTTTGGGTGGCTATTTTTCTCACCGAGGGGAGGGGGGGGGGCATTTTTTTTGAATTCCTCGGCAACGATTCAAAAACCATAATAAGTATGTGAAAACATCAGTTCTATTTTGAGTGACCACAAAGTTCCCGTTACTCGGAAGCAACCCTCAGTCAGCTAGAAAGTTCGCGTACAGAGAAAAATGCATTGAACTGCTCATCGGACATTGATATTTAATGAAAATGGTGAACTCGTCCCGCTTCATCAAAGCCAATGGACACGATAAATTTCTGAGACGAGTAGGATTAATACGCCTGGGAATTCGACGAAAAGGACGGAAATTCGCGCCCCTGAGCAAGGGCTGCGTGGCGTCCTTCCCCCTTCCCCTAAGAAGATAGCCTTATAGCCCTCTATCAATCTGCAACATACCGACCAGGAAGCCCACGGCGCCTGCTAGCCCATAAATGGACGCCATTCCTGATGCTCGTATTGCTTCATTTGTGAAGTAAAATACGAAGTGAAGGGATGGATATGAAGGGGCCGTGGTGCTGCATTAATATACGAGTAGATACGTGCAGCCTGACTGCCGTAACGGTTACTGGCAAGATGCCTACAGGAAACTCGTCCGAAATCGCTTCTCAAGTCGTTAAGAACGGAGGCTTTTCTTTGTAGATTTTAGACAGCTCTGCTTTGTTTTTTTGCCTATACAGGGGGGGGGCAATGAAAAAGAGACACTTCTCTCCCTTGAATTTTGAGGCGCTATAAGTTACACTTGATTGGATTCTGATCGGACCTTCTTACTACCACATTGAAGAGGATATCAAATACTATCATGATGCTCAGCCACAGCCTTCTGGACCACCGCCATCGGGAGATCCTGCCACGCAATCACGGTTCAGTGCCTGAGTTCAGCTAGATCGTTGATTGATTTCTCCGCCACTGTAGACCACCCTATTGAACTCCGCCCAAACCAGGTAATTGATGTAGTTTAGGTCAGATGACATACTTTAGTACTGAATCTTCTTCAGGAACTGAACGCCCTTCCATTCCGTGTAGGCGAGAGTTTTTCCAAGCTCTTTGATTCCATGTGGTGGCACACGAACCTGTAGCAGTACGAAATTTCCAAAAAGGTACGGGCGACGACATGTGGGGACGATATTCTTCTCGAGCTGCTCGATGTAACCGCCAGCGATCACCTTTAGTCCGGGGTCCATGAAGAAAATATCGGTCTCTCCATTCCAGGTACGTCCGGTCCATACCATCAGCCCGCGCCTTGGCGGCTGTGGTGGAGATGATGTCCTAGACCGTAGCGAAGTTGCAGGAGCTGCTCGATGTTGGGGGTCTTCTAGATCAAGAGCACTAGTCTCCAGGTAGCTATCCATGGGTGGCTCCACACTAGAAGTTTCGCAGCTATTTAGAGGTAACATGAATTCCAAAGGTCTTTTCCAGTCAGGATGCGACTGGAGATGACTTCATATTTTGGTATACATGAAGGTGATGGGCGAACGCCAGCTCCTGCTTATAGAGGAACATCATGGGTATCTCTCGCCATGGTACTAGAATCCAAGTCCTCTGTGTGGGCTGCGAAAATTTTGCCGATATGTGACATAAAAACGAGGAAAACGCTATAAATAGGCAGATAATTGTGATTTGGGAATAATCGCGCTCTCTCCGGTCAGACTCTTCTCAGAACGTGCCTTCATTGTTTCTGCATCAGCAAGCCTTTCCATTCATTCCCTTCTCCCCTCCCCTCTCCTTCCCACACCCACTCGCCTGTTTTTTTTCTATCCCTCGTAGATTCGCAGAATCGTCCGACGCCGGAGGAAGTGCAAGAGGAGAGGACCAAATAGTGCGTCTGGTGAGAAAACTAGCTCTCATATTTTCGTCTTTGATCAGCGCCACCTAAGGTGCAATCGCGGGTTTGGTGGCAATTAGGTAACCAGCGTTGTTGGGCAATGAAGATTTCGAGCTATTATTACATAGTACTTACCATTGCATCTTTCAGGTAATCCCAGCTGAGACTGATTCCACATCGAATTAGTATCACAGTGAGAGCCAGCGTCCGTATGCACCACTCCCATCTTGGATTCACATAAAAGATCTCGTCTAATGCTGTGATGTTCTTCACTAAGAGGCCCACTAATAGACATCCTGAAAGTATCAGAGGTCAATCAGTCATGCTAATTAAGGCGGCTGTCAGCCAACAGGTTCGTTTTAGTGCCTGTTCCCTATTTTTTTTGTTACGTTTTTATCGAGAACATTTTTGCTGAAGTGCAGAGAGATTAGCTGTATGATTGGGTATAAAACCTCCGAAGGGCATTCTTCCGTTGAATAACACTCGAGACTGGTGTCATTACGTTTGCTGGTTTATATTTATTGAACATTGAACATTCAAAGGAGAGGCTCTGTTATTATCAACTCCGCGAAACTGTTGAGTAAGTGCAAGACGTAACAGCCACCTGGGGAACGGGAGAAAATTGCCTGTCTGTCAGCGTAGCAGGGGTTCCTCACCCCTTCCCCTTAACCCTCTTAGAGCGGTTTACTTTGATAAATGCAAATCAATTGAGATTCGGGAGAATCGGCACGAACTGTGTGCATAATTGTTTCGCAAGTGTTGAGGTCGGGTAATATAGACTGGCACGAAGTTTTGGGAACAGGTCAAACTATGAAATGATGAAGTCAAAGCCAGAGCATTCAAAAACAAGGTAAAGGTAACGTGGTGAAGTACGCTCACCTCCGAGATTGGTTTTTCGCATGTGCGGAGTGGGTCCGCAGGTGCAGCACCGTACTAGTGCACAGGAAGGGCTCGAGAGAAACGATTCCCCGGGCGTCGTCTCGCAACTTTACCCGTGCTACCCTCAAGGTACCTACAGCACATGCGCGGATAGAGGTGGAGAACAACTAGAATGGAAAGGGCTCAAAGAGCAGCATGTCCTGCAGAAGAGCCTTTTTTGCATAATTTTAGCTACTTCACTTTGCTTTTTCGTCATTTTCGCACTAGATACGCCACATTGCTACCATTAGACGAAGTACCAAATTGCCGTGCCTTATGCTTTTGATTAAATTATATGCTGGAAGTATCAGCTGAGAGGTTCCGCTGGCATGGGGAAATTCTCTGATATAACGATTTAAAGACACATGGTACGCGCACACACAGGAGCTGTGTGACTATCAGCCCTAGCTGTCGATGTTTCGTGGTTGCCGCGCCCGAAACTGCACGAGGTTAGAGTACAGGGGCGTGTGGAAGTCTAACTCGTCCATTTTCCGCCCAAAGTGTAACTTGCGGCGCAGACTCCCTTTATGCTAACAGCTGTCCGCGCGCCGCGTGTTGCGCGCAGGTCTCTTGGCTTTTTGCCAGTCCTGTAATTGCGCTCTGGAATACAAGCAAAACGCAACTTCCTGATGCAGCTAACATTCCGCTCAAAATAAGGCCGAAGATGATGACGAGGGCTAGAACTCATGAGCAACTGTGCTGCTTCTGCAATATCCCTCGGAGGCCGAGCATTCCCACAACATGAAAATAAAAGCGGCCTAAGCGTCCCACCCAGTAGTTCAAAGTATTTTTATGGTTTCAGGGCCCAATTCGCGCCGGATCGCAGAAATTTACACGCGATTCTGATTAGTTTGCGTTTCCCTAAATTTTTCATTTGTGTTTTATTCACACCTACATTAGTTGTTCTTCATTTCTAGCCTTTGTCATCTTCTTCACTTTCTATCGGACTTCGCAGCATGAGCAATACCTCAAATGTTACTCACATCGGGAAATTGCGTTTTGCTTGTATTAGATTAACGAAAGGAACGCTTAGGCCATTCTTATTGTCATGTTCTGTGGGAATATGTGGCCTCTGAGGGATATTGCAGAAGCACAACAGTTGCTCTTGATTTCTAGGCCTCGTCATCATCCTTGGTTGTTATTTTGCAGCACCTTAAATGTTATCTGCATCAGGAAATTGCGTCTTACCTGTATTCCAAAGGGCAATCACAGGACTTGGCAAAAAGCCAAGAGAACTGCGCGCGATACGCGCCGCGCGGAACGGCTGTTAGCATAAACGGTGGGCGGAGCATGGACGATTTAGACTTTCCCACGGTTCTGTGCCTAACCCCGTGCAGTTTCGGGTGGGGAAACCACGACACATCGACAGCTGGGGGCTAGTCACACACACCCGCAATGTGTGTGAGATCTTTGACTAAACATCTCAGATTGAAACCCTGCTCTCAGTAGCAAGTACCTACCAAACAAGGGTGGGAGCGACGTGTAGTTTAGCACTTTTCCAACACAAAGCGATGTTATGAGAAGGAAAAAGATCGAAAACGCGGAAGTGGTGAGGCTTGTAGAGTCTGCTGGCGGTTCCGACCAGGTTGAATTTATGGTAGTGAATGGATGAACTGAAATTCACAAATTATCTGTTCGATGTTCAACAAACGTGGGATACTTACTGAAATTTCGCCCAAATGCAGCCAGAACGGTGAGGTAGAGAGCCACCAGAATTATACACGATGTTATCAGCATGTTCACCTGAAAGCATACAGAAACACTATCTGTTTTATATTGCATATTCGTATTTTTTTGTTTTGAAATCTGCTCCTTCTGCTTTTGAGTGTTGGGTGAATCGAGGAATGAAAGACTCCGACTGCCTAATTATGGGTTGGCCCTTAAGTAATGGCGTTGTTTCCTTACGCAAATTTTTATATGGAAAGTGGTAACTCTTCCCAATGTGTCCTACACTTTTGATAGACAATTTTCTGCTCTATAAGATAGCGTCGTTGCCTTC